GTCTGCTGGCGACCCCTAGTGTAGGTTCATCTTTGGGTTTCTGGGGCTACCTGAAAAAAACAAATAGCCACCAGGGACACGGGAAAAGTCTGACTTAGTCAAGGAATGAAGCTTGAGTTGCTGGCGGCTGGCGGGGGATAGGAAGCTGGAGGAGGGGTGCAGAGGAAGAGAGAACGGGATTCCTGAGGGTTGGTGGGTCCAGAGTGGCTGCGTCTGCCCCACGCCCACACAGCACGAGAAGGTGGAGGGGCACCCGTTGGTGACTGTGTTCAGAGGGGCAGAGGGGCGGGCTCTGGGTAGCCGAGCCTACGCTGGCGCAGAGTCCCATAAGGAGCATCACTGCAGCCACCCTGAAAATAGCGCCCCCACGTGGTGGAGGACCAGATCGCCACCAGTGGCTGAAGAGAAACAGAGAGGGTGACCACCTAAGATAAGGCTACCAACCTCCTGTTCTGAAGCCATATAACCCCCGGGGCCCTGAATGGAGGGGATGGAGGTGAGAAAGGAGCCCCAGTCAGAACTGACAGTGGAGGTCGCCGAGTGAGAGGGCAGGGGGACAGGGTGAGAGCAGGGGCATCTGCTCAGCCCCAACAAAGGGGAGCAGACAGAAGAAAAGTCAAGGAAGGAAGGAAAGACATGAGGGGCAGGGCCAGAGGGATCTACACTCAGAGGAGAGCACTGGGTCACAGGGAGAGCAGGACCACCTCCAGGACCTGCAGTCCCAACTCCAGAAGGTGTTTCTGGTGACACTGTCCATCCCACTCCATTCACCAGAGGCAGAAGCAGGCAGCCCCAGACCCATGTGCAGAAATGGGGAGTCTGCAAAGTGCAGATACCATTCTAACCTAAAACTCCTGCATGTTTGTTGTTTCTACAAGAAGGAAAGGAATAGAAGTTATGGAAGCGTCAAGCAAGCCAATGAGCAATTTAAATGCATTCTGCAGAATATTGGCTAAGAGAAGTATGGATGATTAAACAATATAAATAGGAGCAACTGAAATAGAAACAAAACAAACAGCCTTGATTTTAATTCCCAACTCACACCACCAAGGCTGGGCCTCAACTCAGTTTCTTGAGCCACTACAGATTGGACTTGGATTAGTCAGCTCCTACAGTTTCAACTGGTTCTTAAAATTAAAAGATGCCTGTGTTCAGACCAGGCTACATCCTTCATGCTAGAAATTCCACTAATAGCCTGCTGAGCAGAGCGCTCCAGATGGATGGCTGGGTGGTGGAGCCTGGTCCCAACCCTGCCCTGGAGGGTCGCCCTTGGAAGTCACAGCACCAGCTCAAAGTACTCTGAAAAAGGGATTCATTTCAATCTTTTATCCAAGCTGTGAACTAGCACACACAGTTTCCCCTCCACAAAGTTTAACTTGCTGAGTACGATCAGATTTATACACTATAAAGCACAACAGGAATCACTGCTGGGAGCACATGTGCCCACAAAAAAAGACATGTCCAACTGAGTGTGCACATCTGTGCCACGTTTCGGGTTTTTGTCTAAATCGTTTTTCATTAATTGCTTGTTTTATAGCAGCTGCAAGAATAAACAGTAGCAGACATCTAATGTCTAAGGAAAACTTACAGAAGGAAAGTTTTCATGGAAAATGTTCTTCATTAGTTTATTTTTAATGAGTTATCTTCCCAAGTCCATCCCATTCCCACCCCTCTCCCACCAGAATTCTGAGGATCAGGGTTTAAGAACGAACGTCTCGTAAGTCCCTTCCAGCCCTGTGGGTTCTGTGAGCTCCTAGAATATGAGGACTGTGCACTACTCATCTCCACACCCTACTGGGGGCCCTCCAAGAAGGGCTGAACTGGAAAAACTCACCACATCAAGCCTAATAGCAGTTAGCTTCAAATTTCTGTCTTTCTCCATAAAATCCATCAGGGGGCAGCAATCCTCTAAAAATACCCCTATTCTGAACAAGCTGCTCTTTAATTAAAAGACTCCCAAAGTTCATTAAAAGGAAAATTATAACTACTACAACTTATTAAAAATTTATTATACTCCTAGAACTATGCTACTAATAGTTCAGTGCTTAAGAATTCTTATTTACCAAAACACACAACTAAACAAAAAACAAGCACCATATTTCAAACAACCTAAATTTGAATTATTGCAAATTAGGCTCTGAATGAATACTGAGGCCTCATTTTCTTTGGGTTTTTTTTTTTTTCAGGAAATGCCTAGAAAAGACTTTTTTCTACATCCCTCAACCTAAATTCACATGATAGTCTTCTCCGTGAGCCAAGCAAAGAGCCATTCATCCGTCTGTTCATTATTCATTCATCATTCACTCGCTCATTCATTCATCAAACACCCGATGAGCAATTACCATGTATCAGGCACTGTGCTAAGCACTGTCAGGGATACAAAAAAGTACACAAATCCAGCTGGCTTCAATCCAGTCCTCTGTATGCGTGAAAGCCATTTTTATTTGAATACTGTTCATAATTGCAAAAGTGAAATTTAGTTTAGAATTGGATGAACCTTAAAGCTAATCTCCAGATTCCCTTGCTCTTGGACTCTATTTATAAAGCATTGGTCTATTGGAAGAACCCCCTACTCACTTAACCCTGAGACTTCCTAGCTGGGTCCAAAAGAGCCTTGTCCTAAAGGTCCCACCAGGAAGAATGATTTTCCAGGGAGCAGAGGGCAGTATGTCCCAGGCCACAACAAGGGCTTGACAGAAGTTGATTGAGTCAAAACTGGGCTTGCACAGTATTGTCATTGTTGTTGGATTTTTTGCTTGGTGTTTTGTTAACTTGAATAAACATTTAAAACTTGGAAAAGCTCACATAAAAATCTGGATTTACAGTGTGGCTTAAAAAAAGAAAGTCAAAAGCTCTGGCCGCACCATCTGCATTCCTGCACAGGAACCTCAGAGATGGCCACGTCCTCCATGCGCCCCAGGTGCTGCTCAGCCCTCTCTTACTCAGTAGGCTCCTGCCCGGCCCTACAGGTGACAGCCTGAGACCCTGGACTTGCCACGTCCGAGGCACTCTGAGAGGCCTGCGGGAGTAGGGAAGGGTCAGACTCCACCCCTCAGGCTGACAACCTGTTAGGGAACTTGTCAACAGTCCCACAGCCAGTGAACAACACAGCCTGGACTCTAATCCAGGTGTCCTAGCAACTTGCCCCACCAGGGCCCCGCAAGAAACAGAAGGCGCCCAAATTCACAACTGAGAAGAGTTTAACAAAGGGGCTATTTAAGAAGGTGGGAGCAGGTT